TCACTGAATGAGACTGGGGTCCTGTGGAGGGGGGAAAAGTGATCATGTAATTATAATTTAGCCACTTTGTGTAGTCATAAAGGTGAAAAATTAAAATTACACAAGCTACCTTTGGCACCTACTTTTTTAACAGTTTGAATTACAGGGTAGCTTTTTATGTAATGTATATTTGATATAACATAATCAGCCTAGATTATCAAGAGGTTCAGAGAGAAAACAAGGTACTTTTAAAATTTGAACTCTGTGCTCTTAGCATTTCTGCCCATGAATATCATGGCTTTGTTTTTGGTTCCATTCGGTTATTAAATATTTTAGATTGACTTACAAAATGCTTGCTCCGTGCATTGTAGCAAGTTTTTGGTATCATGGGTCAAAGCTGCTCTGGGCCAGTGGGATTACAAATTCTCTCTTAGATCTGGCTGACAGCCTAAAGTTGCCATAATAATTCTGCTCTTTAATGAGTGAACTAGGTGGTATTTATAAACCAATAAATGTCTCCTGGGAAGCTTTGTAAAAAGTTCCATTCAAAACCAATGTTGTTTATTTATAGTATTTGTTTGTTAGTTTTGTTTTCCTCTGCACTTACTACTGTAGACATATGCATGAAAACAGGATATTTGTCTCTTAAAATGCAGTTATAGTAAGAAAAGTATTCATGCCATAATGGAATCTTCCTACTTCAAAAAAGTAAACTCTCCCACTCAATGGATCCAAGTGTTGTATTCATTTAGATTCCTTATTTTCCTATCAGAATTTTTTTTCTGTATTCGTTCTTGCTAACCAATGCAGTTTTGGGAAACTCTTAATCCCAGTGAAACAGTAATTATGGTAAAAAATAAACATTAGAATTCACACTCTCCTACTTGTGGGGAAACAGAGTAAACAGAAATACTTAATTTACTCTGACATTTATTTTTCTGTGGTGCCTAGAGACCACAAAAAGTTCCTTACCTCACACATGCAGTTAGACAGATAGCACAAGGTGAATTCTATGCTAGCAGATACATCATCCACACCATTTTCACTGCTGATATTTTTACTTTGTGATACATTAATTTGACTTTTAGATCACAGGTTTTCTACCCAACAAAAAAGATCATTTTCTTTTTCCTTTTTTTTTCCTGCTTCCTATTATGTAAAACAAATTATATCTAGAAGCCAGCAATGTTATGTTTATAGTGCTACTGTCAGACTCAGTTAATGACTATATGCTCAGGGTACATGCAGATGTTAGGGTTAGGTCAATCTAAGTGCCAATCAGTACAGACATTCGTGGAGGTTAGATAGGGCAAAAAAGTCCTGCCTGATCTAATTCAGTTCACATCTGGAGCTCAGCACAGGGGTTGGGAAAGTCCAGCTATTTGCTCCAGCCCCTTGACTTCCCTCTTTCTACCTCCTCCACTACCCTGACTAGGTTATTTTTACCATGACACTCCCCACCTCAGGACCAACAACTCCTTCACCTCATGCAGGAATTGTCTATTATAATAATAAATATTTAGCTCCTGAAGGCACAACCATACATTGAGGCTATGAGTCCCACTGTCCCAGTGGGAGCTTCAGGGAGCATTGTACAGAATGCCTCCTTGGCTTTTCAAGGCGAATAGTCTTCCGGTATGGCCAGCTCTTGCTGGTTAGTTTGGAAAATGGGTCCATAGTTTTGTTAGTCTCCTTTCCAGTTAGGATTTTTAGATTTTAGTTTTTTCTTATATGTGAAAAAATAAAAGCTAACCCAAGGATCTTAGTGACCTCAGGTATCTAAAATTAGGACTCTTATTCTTTACTCATATTTTTCCAATCATTTGCTGGTAATTCTTCCTAATCCCTTTCCTGAGTGAGAAAACATTGGACACACCTGCAGCTGTTAATATTTTCCCTCCTGATTAGCACTGTGTAGAGAGAAGTTAGCACAATCTTAGAATGTCTCCAAATTTAGTTTTCCTCACTTATTCCTTCTTCCTAAAGACAGAGCTCACTTGTAAAGACCTCACTTGATTGTACTTCAGTCAAAATCTGACACAGTTCCATTGTCACTTTGAGGTCCTGAAGAGGACTGGAAACACTGAGGAATTCAACGTGTCAAGACAACTTTTATTCCACTCCTGACAATTACAAGAGCAGAGAGCAAATACAGATTCCATTTTTTTAAATGACAAAGATACTTGCTAGGCAATTGAGAATCTTGATTTCCTGTAACATATCTAGATATTGTTTGCTTAGAAATATTCTAAACGCTCTTGGAGATAAAGATCATCCTTTTGTTCTGTGTTTATATAGTATTTAGCAAAATGTCATCCTGGTCCATGGCGGAAGCTTCTAGGTTCCCTTTGATATAATTAATAGTAAAAATACTATTGTTACAGTTGTCTAAAATGTCTATATACATTGCTGATGTCCATCCTGTAGTACCTATAGCTTGTATTATAGTGGTAGGACTCAGTTTTTTAGTGCTTTAGTTTTTCTTTTTTCCTAAGCTTCCCTGTTGGATCCCAGTTTACTCTTGAGTCTTTCTAGTCAGTAAAAACTGGAGCAATGCCTGCAAGTCATGTAGCACTATCAAAAGAGGGCACTTCTTCCTATGAAAGCAAAGGAAGTTACCTTTCTGCTTCTCCTAATAAACCACTGAAATTCAAAGTGATGTTATTTTATTATTATTATTATTGCATTGAAATGTTTGTGTTAAATCTAGTAGAGACTGGGAGCATCTACACAAGACGCTGACTGTGCAGTAGCTGAAAAATACTGCGCAAGTAGTTCATCATAGCACGGACAGCGCTAATACGCTACTGCATGGTAGCATCACCTAAAAAATGCTTGCCGGCACTACTGCTCAATAACTGCAGTTACTGCACATTTATTTAGTACTTGCTACTAAATACTACACTTGCTAATGCAAGTACTAAATAAATGTCCAGTAACTACTACACAGTAGTGTCTCATGTAGATGTGCCCACTGCTGAATACATTCTTATTGTTTTGGAACAACTCAGTTATTGCTTTATTTACATTTCAGGTTGCATAACATATAGGATAGTTTGACTTTTTTAGTGGTCATTTTTCAATTTGTGTTGCTTAACTCAGCCATGATACAGTTACAGTTGTTTTTTGCAACTCAGATGCAGTTGCAAAAAAAAGAAACATAATTTGGAGCTTCATTAATGCAAGTCTTAGTCGTTGGACATGGTAGATGATAGTACACTTTATTCAGTGCTGGTTAGGCCTCATTTAGAGTATTGTGTGTAGTTCTAGGCTCCACATTTTAAGAAGTATGTGGAGAAGTTGAAGAGGGTCCAGAGACAGGTAACAAAAATTATAAGGGGCTGGAAGGGGAGCTGTGCAAGGAAATGTTGAGAGAAAAGCCTGGAGAAAAGGAGACTAAGTGGGGCATGATAACAGTTTTCAAATATTTAAAGGCTGCCATAAAGAAGAGGAATAACAATTGTTTTCCTTTACTGCAGAGGGCAGGATACAAAATGATGGCTGTACCAGCAAGGTAGATTTTTTAGTGCCAGAACAGTATTGTAATGGAATGAACTTCTCGAAAATGTTGTGGCATCTCATTCATTGAAGATTTTCAAGAGGAGGTTGGATAAGCATCAGACAGGGATAATTTAGGAATAGTATTATTGCATTCATGCAGAGGGTTGGACCAGCTGAGCCTCAGCCTTCCAAGCCTGTGTTTCTGTGCTATAATACATGTTCAAATTCTTTCATCCTTTCTAACAACGTGTAGTACCGTCCTCCTGGAGAACATTTAAGTGAAACTGGGGGAGGTGTTTGCAGAGTAAGGAGCACAGCATGAGTCTGGGTGGCAAAATGTGGCCCCTTTTAAGTTCTTGCCTGAATTGCTCAGTGGCATTGTGGTAACAGATAGTTGCAATATATTCTAGATTTCACTGGCAAGAGAAATAGTCATAGTACATACCTTTTATCTAGGCGTACCCAGGTGTTTTATAAGAAACACCAAGGGCTAGATCAGGGGTCAGCAACATTTTTGGGCAGAGTGCCAAAAACACCTGCAACTTCAACTTCTAAGATGTTGGCATGCCAGGGGCAGATGGCAGAGGAGCCACAAGGGACCCAATCCTTGTTGTTGCCATGTAGCCCTGACCCCCTCCCCACCATCCACCCAGAGGCATGCATGCCAAGCAAAATGCCTCTGAGTGCCACACTCTGGCACTCACGCCAGGGATTGCCTACTCCTCAGCTAGATCATCCCTTGGTCTGCAGGTCCACACAGGGACATAGAGTATAAAGAGATATAAGGTCTGAGTACACGGAAGGAAGTGTTGGGGAATGGGATGAGCCATGGTTCCCACTCTCAACTTCTTCCTAATGTATGTAAGTATATTTATAATGTCAGTCAGCAGAATGGAGTAAGCATGAGAAGGGTGCAATAATTTGCTACTGATATAAGTCAGCAACCACATTATTGCCCTTTTGATATGGGGGGCAGGGAGAGAATTGTAGGTTAATTTGTTGATCATTTTATGACTGGCCTTTAAGAAACCTACAGAATGTTTGCTACTTCTCTGATGACCTTTTAGTCCCTCTGTTGTACTGTAGCATTCCAGTGACATACCATTGAAAACAATACCCTGGTAAGAGGCATGCAGTAGCTTGTATATTCACTAGCAGTCAAGTAATAACAATAATAAAAAAGGCTACTCTCAACTTTGTCAAAGTTCCAGTTAAAGAATGCATACTTATTTGAGAGTGAGAAAGAGTTGCTCCTACTTCATCAGTGTTAATATATCAGGTCATCATAACAGAAATACTGTACTGTATATTTGCTGTGGATTAAGCCATGTAGCCATGTCCTCCAATGGACACATGTCCTTTAAAAGATAGACTGTATTTTCTTCCCACCTTTTCCTTCATCCTCCTTTTTTTATATATATTTTAATTGTCTTTTTGATCAAAGTAATGTTCAATTTCATGGAATAACATTTTTCTTCCCTCTCTCTCCAACCCTCTTTTTCTTCCTTCTGACCTCCTAGTTCTTGGATGTTACGACTGTAGGGTAGCACTGACCAATCCCACTGGAATGTTCAGCTCTCCATGCTTTCCCAGTGATTACCCCAACACCCAAACGTGCAAGTGGACCATCCAAGCTCCTCGGGGATACATCATTCAGATAACATTTATTGACTTTGACATTGAAGAAGCTCCAAACTGCATTTATGATTCACTGACATTGGACACTGGAGGACACGAGGTTAAATTTTGTGGTGTCACTGCCAAAGGATTGTCCTTTAACTCGACTGGAAATGAAATGATTGTGTCTTTTACAAGTGACTTTAGTATCCAAAAGAGAGGCTTCAATGCAAGCTATACCCGAGGTAGGTAAACTTAAAACACTTCATTCTTGTATTATCTAGCAAGCAAGCTTGTTGAATGTGCGAAGGTGAATATTCCATGTGTGAATCTGAAGCCCCTGGCTTCCAGCATATTCACAGGTCAGACTATATCAATAAATTGTACTCTTCATGCTTTTTAATCATGTAATTTTTGTGTGAATGAAGATATAGGATGTGGTTTTCTCCTTCCATATAGCTTACTAAGGACACTGGAAAACAATTTAACATGTTTTAGGCTCATATGCATACTACAGGGCATGGCCAACTGGTGCCACCTTAGTCGGGGGGGGTCATGCCCTGCCTAGTGACCAGTCACAGTAGGTGACTGGGGGAAGTGGGCCCCCCCGCAGCCAATCTCACGACCAGGAAGTGGCCACAGTGCTCCCAGAAGTGGCTGCAGTGCTCCCGCCTGCCCCCCCAGCCCATTGCTTAAGAGAGGAGCACGGCCTGTCAGGGGGTGCACCAGAGCTCTCAGGGGGTGCACATGCACCCCTACATGTCACCACTGCCACAGGGTATGAAAGTGACACTCACCTTTAACACTATAAACCTGCATAAAGAGCAGGACATTATAATCTGATTCCCAGTTCTGAGGTCAGCAGCAGAGGGAATTCAACACATCCAGGTATAGGTCTACCCTCTGGCACATCAGAGCTCTCCACAGCAAAGGTAAAGCAGGTCTGTGCAGGAGACAGAACTTTCTCAGGGGCTGGTTCAAGACTGCTGAATAACACTTTCCCACCTCCCACCCCAGCTAACTAAGGGACATCACAAACCTCAGCACCTCCAGCTCCAAATGCAATGTGTGTTTCTTTGATCTTGTTTCCTCTAACATACATATGTGACAACATAGATCATTCAAAAATATAATCACCAAAACAAGACATTCTGCTGTACACATTTCTCCCTCAAGGGAGAGGGCTAGAGAACAAGCAGCACATGACAGATGTTAGACACATTACTTAATGCGCCACTGGAAACATTCAGATACTGCAGTGATGAGTGCAGTATAAGTATTCATTTGAAATAGAATAGAATGAGTAGCAGTCCCAGACCTTGTTTTCTCTGAATGGTAGAATAGCTTCCCTAGATTAAATTTTATACAAATGAACTATTTCTTCATCTTGCTTATTCCCAGAAAGCCACCGCCTCCTTTTTTTGAAGGAACAGGGGATGTCTGCATTGATTCTACAGTGCTTCTGAGAGCACTGCTGAGAAGTATGCCATGTCAAACTTCTCCCACCCAGCCCTGTACCAACCCAGAAGTGAGGTAGTGAAACTACCCTGAAGTTGCCTATTTCTCTTCCCCCCACAAACGTGCTGGAGGTAGCATGAGTGGCAGCAGGGCCTGATCTCCAAGACAGTTTCACTACCTCGTTTCTGGGTTTAGCATTTATGGAGAGGGAGCAGATGGGGAAGTTGTTCTTTAAGTTATACCACAGTCATTTCCTTTGAAACTTCCTGAGTATTGGTATTAATCTTTATTTGGATTGAGGTAGTACTTTGGAGCCCTGGTAATAGGGAAGGGATTCATTGTGCTAAGTACTGTACAGACCCAGAAGAATAAGATGATATTCACCCTGTCAGACTTACAGCCTCTTTCACACTCAACTACACTTTGACTTTACAAGATAAATAAGTGAATTCTTAAAATCAGAGGGCAGAAGAATTAAAGCCTGTTCCACAAGCTAAATCTGTTTACAATCCTGAAATGAAAAAAATGTAACACTATAGTTAGAAAGTTAGAAATGTTACTAAGGTTCATTAGAAGCATCTAAGAGGTTACTCTGGGTGACAAAAGCAGTTTCTGCTGTGCTCAGAGCAAGCAGAATATAATCTGGATAATAAAAGAAAAAGCAGTGTAAACAGATGTGCAAAGTGATGCATTTACACTACTATTTTTCAAGTTTGCTAGGGATCCTCCCATTCTACTCCACTAATAGATACTTTATTCTAAACATTCTCTCCCACAAATATTTCTGTACAATATTCTCATGTGAATGAGATTACCTGTGGCGTAAAATATTACTCAGCAGGTGCATCTACACATACCATTAAGACAACGTGATAAACCCTGGCACAGTTTGTGTCAGAGATTTTATGGTGCTTTAATGGCATGTGTAGATGCTCAAACTGCTGTGGACCAGGATACACATGCAGATGCTGCACCCAGGACTGCAGCAGTTTGAGCTGGAGAGGAGAAGCCCTGGGCTGGCAGGGGCCTGGAGGGCCAGCCTGAGTCTGTGGGAGGCAGTGTTGGTCATTGGAGAGGCTGGTTGGGGCACAAGTGTGCCCCAATATGCAGAGCCCTGTGTCTAGAAGGCAGGCAGGGGTCTGGCTCTCTGCTGCCTGGGCTTACTGAATGCAATGTACACCCAGGTTCAGCATTTACATGTGTATTTAGGTGCAGTAATTTTTGCTGCAGTAAGACAGTACTGTCCCTGACAGTACTATCTTGCTGTGGCAAAAATTAATTTGTTGTAGTCTAATAGTGTCACACGTGTAGACTGTGATACTTTAAACCACAGCAAATTGTATTGCTGTACACCTGCAACTATCTTATCTAAGAGCCATTTTTGACCTTAAGTGTCAGGAAGCATTGTCTTCATCCAAGAATATAATTGAACTATAATCATTGAAACAGCTGGATAAATTCCCCTATCCATGAAAGTTGTGCAATTCCCCTGATTTCAGCAGTGTTACAAAAGTACAACTCATGGCAAAGTTTAGCCCTGACAGGCTGTAAAACTGCAGTTCAGTCGAAAATGTTACCCTTTTAACATTCATGTAAAAGAGAACCATTCCATGGAGAGACCTGAGGAATGGTCCAGTGGTACCAAAAACCATGTTTATATTCTTTCCAATTATGCAATTGGTCCAATAAAAGGTATCATCCATAAAAATCCTGACCATCCCAAAATAATTTGGTGAAAAACCACCGGATATTACAGGAAAAATAGAAGTTTGGGAGTAGAAGGGGTTTTGAAAAAACTGGACAATTTGCTATCCTAGATATGCTGCTATAAAATTTGCTAGCGGGTAAATATACCGGTTAGTATATAATAAGTACATGAGCCAATCTACATGCAGATAGAACAAGAAAATGAAGTAAGGGAAGGGTTTAGGTGAAAAGATACAGTTTTTGTGGGGTTTGAAATGTTACGTAAGAGTGGTTTCACACTGAGATCCAGATATTGGTGGATCTAGGATTTTGAAAAGGAGGGTATGGATGCTGTGGTGCATCATCACGAAAGGAAACTGGAAGCTTTACTAATATGACGGGAGCCTTGGGCGGTGTTATATAGGTTAAGATTGAAACAAAAACAAATATAATTTTATTGGAATGAATTAAGAACACCCTACAGAGTTGTGAAATAGGAGCTACTTTACCAGAAGCAGCAAATAGCATAATTGTAGAGGAAAGTCCAGCTTGATTAGTGAAACATCAAGACCATTAAAAAGGAGAAAGGATTGTTAACATCTGTGGAATGAGGAGTTATGAGGAATGAAGAGAAGGAATAAGTAGATTTTAATGAGCCATGAATTCAACTGATGCTCTCACTGATGCCTGAAGTTCACAGAAATGCTGATGCCAATGCCAGGCAGCTGGTTTTAAACTTGGGGGTCAGCAAGAATCAAAGGGCAAGTGCGACTGCACCAGTGCACCCCTCCCTTTCCCCCTGAATCTGCCCTTGGGTCCAGAACACATTTCCTTGGATCTTCTTGGAGAATCTCCTTGTAGCATTGAATTAAAGTACTAAATCCTCAGATGGAGTAAACAGATAGCTCTGCTGAGTTCAATGGAACTATGCAAGCATCTATCAACAGGCAACTTG